TTTCGAAGAGCCGAGAGCGATGTCTCATCGATCACGGTGATACGAGAAACTATCGCATTGAACCTGCCGATGAAAGACCGAAGGAATTCCTTTTCGCCCTGTTTGATTTGGAAGAGATCGGCGCTGGAGATTGCACCTTGGACGTACATCATGTATCTCTTGAGGAAGGCGGTCGACAACGCTTTGTAGCTGTCAATCGAGTTCGCTTTTAACTTAGAGAACCAAACGAGAGCCGCACCACTGAGATTTTTGACAAACAGCTGGCAGAAACCAGCATCTTTCTCTTCGGGGGTGAATCGTGCTCGGCCCATTTGAATGCTGAACGCAGTCATAAATTGGCTTGGGTCTGAGTTGTCCGTATACGTTGGGAGATTAAACTTCACTTGAGTCCTTATCGGGAAATCGGTGATTCGGGTCGTAAACAGGGTGCTTTGGCTTTCTTTCAGCACGCGATCGATCTCAGGCGCCGAGCTGGTAGCTTGATGTACTAGCGAGGTCATGGCTCGCAATTTGGCCCTCATTTCGTTCTTCTCTTCATCTTGTTGTGGGTTTCTAATTTGAAGTCGACGCGTTTCGTGTTCGAGAGCTCCGATATTCACCTCGTTATAATTCGAGGTTGGAGGATTTTCTGTTGTTGGTGGTGCGGGAGAGTCTCCGAATAAGGCGCGATGTACACGCTGAATTTCTTGCGCTCGTCTCTCCGGCGCTTGGGTGTCTGACGAGTGCAATACATTGACCTGGTCCTGACAAGAGAGTTGTGTTGCAGCTAGCTCGTTCAGGCGAACACTTGTCTGATGATTCAACTCTTCCATTCGAGCCATCATTGTTGTGAATAACGCTGTGACATTGGCAGGGGCCGGTGTGCTTCGGTTGACATCATGTGCCTCTGGATGTAAGGTCGCGTTTTCTACGGGATTCATCGTCGGTGATCGCCTGTTTGAGGTGTCTGGGTTGTTAACTGGTGACATGTTAAGTCCCTCCTCGGGAGTAGTCGATGTGGGCAGACTGATCGTTTCGTTGGTTTGAATTCCTGACATTATCGAGCCCCTCTTTGCGTAGAAAAAAATCTCTTAGCCCCACGGTGGGCGCCAATTGTTGTTTAGTATCCGCACACGAGGTTAATTCGGTAAATATAACTAGGTGGAGCTCGAAGATTCTTGTTAGATAGAGGTGAGGTCGATGTGGTCTTATCGAGGTCATTTAAGCGAGATCTACTAAGCGAGGTAAGAGTTAGTGATCACAAATTTCGAGTTTTTAGTTTTTATTTCAGATTACGGATCCCGTAATAAATGAAGTTACAGGGCTATTTATAGTGTTCAAATTAGGTTACATCTCGGTTAGAGTAGCTTGGACAGCCGGGTAGATAGACCTGACCGACCGTCTATCGGAATGTCGCGCTGGCAAGCTGTTTCCTCTACGTCGACGTGGCGAGCTGTTTCATCAACGTCGACGTGGCGAGCTGCTCCTTCGATACGGGAGGCTCATCTCTTCGAACGACCTCGTTTTGGCTTGGCGAATGGGCTCGTCCATTTTCGGTCTTGGTGGGCTTTTTGTATTTGCTAATGGGCCTGGTCGAAATTACAGAAAAGAGGCTGTGCTCAACCCACCTACAACAAATGTAGTCATTAAGATGATAAGTGTAGTATTTGGTCAAATATTGTAAATAAACTGAGTAATGAATTAAAATTATTAATAAGTGGAGTTATTTTAGTCTACTATAGTTAGCCAAAAGAAGAAATGATTACTCTGGGTTTAACTTATTTAATTTTAAAGGAAAGTTGGAAAAAAATTGGAAAAATTGTTTTTCTATTTGATTTTAAAATGAAAAAAAAAACAAGAAGGAATTAAAAATAAGAGTAGAACAAAAGAGTATATTTCCTTTTTCATATGTAGTTTTAAGTGGGAAAATTTTGCTACCTTTGTCCACATTTAGAGGATTTGAAATTTAATTTTAATTTATATTGGTTGGTTTCAACAAAACTAGTTTTTTTTCTACCCTATTTCTACTTAAAAGAGCTTCTATCAAATTAACAAACTATATAGCTGTGGAATTGGTTTTTAACTTTTTATAACGTGTATAATGTTATTTTGCACAAATGCACTCATATAGTTAATTACCCGAATACATTACCATATGGATTTATTACCCACTAAAGACTTTTAAAGTAACGTATAGATGAAAACAAATTCTACAGTTAATTCTATTAAAACCAATGGCAGCTAAAAATCTTAAAATTTTATTCAAGAATTTACGAAATACGAATGATCTAGAGTCCAACATTAATCCTGGTCAATGTTCATAGATAAGGTAGGAGGTTCGTTATCAAACAGTGTGATAAGCTTTCAAAGGTCATGAAGAAATTGAGTGATTTCAACTTTTAAACAGTCAAAGCAACTTTTTGACTTTGTAAAAGGGAATAAACCTTATCATCACAGTACGTTGGTTTGGTAAAATAACTCATTTATACGGGAAAACAATGCATTTGAGTGTGATCAGCCTACTTGCATTATTGAAATTACTTTTTACTTTTTTAAAAATGTGATAAGATTAATAGATTAGACTTTTTTAAAAATGAGATAGGAGTATTATAGATCTTCAAGAGTTTGGTTTGAAAGCACATTTTTTTTTTGTAAGCCTCATATATATAGGTGGCTCAGTGTAGGAAAGCTTTGTTCAAGTTTGTTTGAGTAGTTTTTGTGACTGCTTCTAATCCAACTTGTTTCTATATATATATAAATCAGATGACAAAAAAAAATTATAAAAAGAAAGTTCTCAGTATAACATTTACAACTTTATAAATACAGTTCTTCTCGTTTCACAAATAAAAATTGTTTTAAACATATTTCAGAATTCAGATATACATATTGAACATATTTGAATTATTAAACATTTTGAGATTAAGTTTCCAACCCGAACTTCGAGATTATAAGAAAAAAACCTAAAAATGAAAATAAACAACTTTATTCTGTGTTTAAACACAATCTTTAAAATGGTTGAGAGGTGAGTGATATGGTGTCGAGAGATAAGAGGATTGTTGTGACGAGAGGAGGCAACAATTTGAGCCATTGGTTCATATTTTTCGCAACCGAACAAACTGCCTTTTTTATTTTATTTATTTTTCTTTATCTGAAAACTTTAAAAGTGACTGACACTAAAGTAAGTCATCGTCATCATGACTTCGCTCGCGTTCGTGGGTTCTGATACGTTGCCGTTTCTAGATATTTTGTTGTCCCCATCTTTAGTTGTCAATTTTTTATTTTATTTTATTTATATTCACTTTGGACAAAACAATCATAATTAATACTATATGACTCGGAGGTATCAAGTTTCCTAAAAACCCTATAGAATTTCGAAATCAGGAAATGGCATGCACATGAAGGCCATTGAAATTGAAACTTTACCTAACAAATCCATACCCCAAAAAGTATATATCTATCAATAGCTATTAAACAACGATTGAATTTTCATTAAAGATGAATTCATTATTTCTCTTTTCAGAAATCAAAATCGAATTATATAAATTAAACATGTAAAAATCTAATATACGAATACCTTTCACTAAACAAAATTAAGTTTGAAATGAAACCAAAATTTGATGGAACCACACCTCAAACTTAACAATAGCAACAAAAACCCTACTTTAATGAAAGCAACAAAAAAAAAAAAAAACAGAACTGAGCCATGAAGGAAGAACTGAAGACCATGCTGTTCTCCATTAGTTGCTGAAGCCCTGGCCATGAGGTAAGCCATAACAAGAGCAATTGAAAAAAGCTTACATAAAATGCTTTTCAAATCTTATTCTCAAGTACTGATTGGGGTTATCAGAAAAAATGAACCATCAAAAGAGATCAAAAATATTGTTTTCGACATCAAGACTTTATTCTCTATTTTTTTTATATATGTTTTATTTGTTTATATTCTGCGCTCTACTAATTTGTTCATATTTATGCTCTGCTAATTTGTTAGCAGATGCAATTGCAAAACAGTTACTCTGTAACTATCTTCTTGTATCTCGGGTTCTAGTTAAATTCTTTTCTTGAATGAAAAATTTAGATATTCAAAAAATCAAAAGAAAGCAACAAAAAAACACAAAAACCCTAATAAAAATAACATATTCCAAACTTGTAGACAGAATTGTATTTTCCTTATGATCAAGTAATCAAGGAAAGAGTCTTCTCTCTTTTCAAACCTCTACAAAACTTGGAGTGCGTTGAATTTCCGAATGGTTTGAAATATATATTTGAGTTAATGAACAGTTTTGCATTTACTGATTAGTTAATAGTGATTGCATAATTACACATTGGCCATTGTACATAAACAATACGCTCAGCTATTAATGGGCTTAAAAAAGGGCTAAGGTAGTTGTGTAAACTTTTTTCATCGCTGATGGGTATTAAATAGATCCCTTGAAACGGTCTATCTACCTTTGCATGTTTGTGTACATGAATATGTTATCAGCAGTAAATGACTTTTTGTTCTTCTTTTATTCCTTTTGGTTTTCTGTACATGAATTCTGGAATGGGCAATGGACTTCATAGCCTAAAGCTTTTTCATAGGAGCCGAACAATTAGGCAATTGCATAAATCTCTCATTAAAAAGTAGATAGTTTTTGGTGTAACACTGAACCGTCAAACATAACTGGCGCTCTTAAATTTTTTTCTTTCTTTTTCACCGTTTTTATTCTCCAGTATCTCGGTTTTGAACTCAAAGAAAACCAATTTCTATTTAGTGTTGGTCCCAGATTTAAAATTCTGTTCAAGAAAAGTACAACTCTGTTTTGGCAATTAACATTGCCTATTTTGGGGGGTTTTCTTTGAATTAAATGGAGAAGAAAAGAAGAAACAAATGACGGAGGCCTAGCTCCTACAAATATATGGGAAATGGAAAAATAGGAAGGTTAATTCCTCAACAAGAGGAATAACTCCTTATTAAAACTGAAATAATTGCAAAAAAAAAAGACATAGCTTCATCACGTCACATACTTGTTGGTGCTCTGGTTTGGTTATACAATCCCCGGTTCGGTTCTTAAATTCTATCATTTAGCAACTTCAAGACCAAAGCATCTTTCGGTCTGATGAAAGTTTAACACAGCGGAAACTACAACAATATCCAACTTCTGCCTTGTAAACCAAAGTATCTACGCAGAGAATACCACATCCATCGCAGAGTGGTCGAGAATTGCCATTGTTGCGAGTAATTTCAGCCTCAGCACCCCATGCTCTGATGTTATGGTTGGGCTTCATGTAGACACTTGCCCCCAATAAGCATTCTCGATGGAGAGTGACGTTGCAATCATCGCATGCATAAAACCATGTCTTTGCATCTAATTTTGTTTCACATTTCTCGCACCAATAGTTGAGACTTGTTGTCTCTTCTTCACCGTAACGAAGAATGAGTTGATGCTTATCGTACTTGTAGTGAGCCACCCAAGGTATAGTAGCACAATAAAGCCCCAAAAATAACTTGCATTTAATACATTCTAAGGCATACTCTCCACATTCACCGTCCCCACAAGCCATGCATTTATCCTTGGTCAGGTTGAAATAAAGGGGGTGATCATGTGGATGGCTCCCATGGATTAAAGGATCAGGAAGGGAAGCACACCTTACGTCTAGTTGAAATTCACATTCGTCTTCGAAGCATTTGTACACAAAACCACAACTTCCTCGGTTACAACCATTGCATGCAAAGATACCTTTGGGAAACATTTCAAACCATTGGTGGTGGGGCTTAGGAGGGAATGGTTGGAAGAGTGTAAGTGGATGCTTGTGTAGGGGATGGTGTTTTTTGATAGGAAGGGATGCACATGTCTCGTGAAGAATGAAATCACACTGCATAGAGCTACAACTGTAGAAACCATCAGAATTTGTTATTGCAAGGTTGCAAGCTTGACAAAACTTATAATCTTGATCGCGAGGACAGTCATCTCTCTGCAACTTTAGATAATGCTCATGGGTGAAATGTTGTATTGTCTCCTCATCTATTTGCTCAAATGGTTCAATAACCTCATCAGGCTCTTCAGGCACTCCTTCAAGATCTTTTCCGTCCCACACGTCTTTTCTCGTTGCACATTTCGAGTGGACAGCATAATGACATCCTTTAGAGCATGAGTATTGCCCATAACTAACGTCGACCGTTTGGCGGCAAACTCCACAAAGGAACTCGCCCGAAGGAAGGGAGGAAGAGTAAGATAGACGGTGTGCGTGACGGGTGATCTTAATGACACGAGGCAAGTCGATACATTTTCGATGAACCATGTAGCTGCAAGGGAAACAAGTGTATGCATGATCCTTGATTTTGTCAAGAGATAGCCCACAAGCATTACAAGGCAAAGGCAGACGTCCAGGAAAGAGGTTGAGAGCGTGCTCATGTCTTTTCAGGTTTGCCATAGTGAGAGTTATTGCGTGTCGTGCACACGTAGCGTTTATACTATAATCGCATATGGAACAATGATAATATACCTCAGAGAGACGCTTCCGACAACAATTGCATTTTCCATAACTTCCTTCGGATATCGAGACACCATCGTCCAAATTAGAACTATCGGAAGAATGGGGATTTTTGAAGATGAACTTGAGAGGGTGGGAGAGGTGAAAAGGATGTCTAATCTCCGGCGCATACTTGTAACATTCAAAGTGGTATTCCAATTTGCATGTCGGACAATATTTATACTGACGATCTGCTTCCAAGTAGTTGCCTTTGCACGAGAAGCAGCCAGAGAGTGGAGGATCAGATTGTGAACTAAAATAATGATCACCCAGAGTAGCGCATGGAGATCTGCAACCAGAATAATGCTCCATATATGGGTTCTTTAGAAGGAATGAAGGAGAAAATGTAAGTAAAGAGGTTTGAACTCAAATCTTTCTTAGGCTCTTAAGTTTGTGGTATAATGTAACTGGAAGCTAGTTAAGACCAATTCCATTATTAAAGTCAATTACTCTCAAATCTTTTTGAAGTTAGGACAAATCTGGCCACAGCTGTCTAGTTTTTCTTTTTGTCGTCACAACAGCTGTATAGTTTAAGACCAAGTTTATTTTCAATTAATCAAAGACCGACAACTGGTTATATTTTCGATTAATCAAAGACCAACGCTCCTTTAAAAAAGAGTCTTTTGTATTTAGTGTCTACTTTGTAGTACTTTATTTAGCATGCACATGGTCGGTTCTACCATGTTCTTATTATTATTTTTTTTTTCTTAAGATCATCTCCATTGAGATGCATGGAAATGCTCTTTGAACCTAGATTTTTGCTAAGATCATCTGTATAAAACAAGAGTTTTACTCGCTCTCAAATGGGCCATTTAGCAAATTTTTAATTAAAATTTTAAAATTCATAATAAATCATGTAACATGAACTATGTGTAACTCTTTTTTTTTTTGGTCAAGGTGTAACTACAACCACAATTCAAGTGATTAAAAACTATGTAACAACAAAACTATAGCCATTGGCTGGTTAAAAAAAAAGACAAAGTAGTACAAAAATATACTATTTCATATCAACCGCCTAATTTAAAATCTCAATTTTATTGTGACACTAAATTGGTGCATTAATCACACTAATAAATCAAACTGATTAAAAAATATTGTTCTAGAAATTTTCCGCGCCTTACGCGGACTGATATAATTTTTTATATGATTGTGTTAAAATTTAATAGTAGTAATTTAGATTCATTTATTTTCTATTCTCTACTGTTGAGTATAATTATTTGTTAGATTTTTTTACATTTTAATGTTTGAAGACATGATGCAGACTATAAATACTATTGTTGTCTTTTTTTGTCCATTGGGCTGATATGTTTTTAGAATGAAAATACAAACTATATATATTTACAATAATAATAGAACAAAAACATAATAATGATTTAAAGTACCCAACAAACTTATTCAACGAAAAAAGAAGAAGTTAAACAATTTAAAAGAGTGTGAGAGAATTAGAAAGAAGTTGTGTACATATTTATACTAAAACATTTAAAGTCGAAAACCCTAATCTAGACATCACAAATATCATTCCATTAGACATTCTATATATTGATTTTTACTTTATTGTTAGATTTTTACTAAATATCGGTTTTATAAAATTTTAGAAATGGTTTGATTAAAATGAAACATTAAGGGCTTGACTGGATTAAACGCAACGGTTGCGGTTGCGATTGCGGGAGTTTGCGGAAGCGGACGATTGCGGTTTTGAGCGTTATTCAGCGGTTTGCACGACTGGTTAAACTTTTTAAGACGGGTCTGTTTGCAGAACATTTTTGACTGGCAAACCAGCGGTTGTTTTAGCGGTTAAACATAAAATTATCAAAATAAACATCATATATAATTATAAAAAAACAGAAAACTATACTATTATGATTAATATCAAAATCACTAGTTTAAAATAATTAATAAGAATTATAAATAAATACTAAATAATTATTTTAAAAACTAATAAATTTTATAAATAATATGTTTTATTTTAATTATTGGGAACATAACTCAAAATTGTGTCTAGTAATATAATAAACTAGAAAAAAATAGCTCCAATACGTGGACTTCTGGATTTGTCTTATGCATGATATAAAATTTCTTCAATTGATCTAATCGATTTTTTGCTCCGCTGCGTTTGCGGGTGATAGCGGGTAAACCAATCAACACCTAAACCACAATAATTTAAAGTAGTTTGTTTTAAGTTATTTTAACACAAAATCAGATAAAAACCAATTAAAAATGACATATAATTAAAAAATAGAGTCAAAAAATCTTTTTCAGCCGAAACTTATTCTGGAGCTGACACGTAAGCAAACATTTTGAAACTCGTTGTTGAGCCGATATCTAAACAAATCACTACACAAATCTAACATTTGATTTGCTAAACATGTTTCATTCTATATTTTCTTCATTCTTTTTAAATTATTAAAATATTATCAAAAAGAAATTATATTTTTAAAGATCTGCAGCATTGTCACTTGAACGAATATTTTGAATGTCCACTTCTTTAGTTTTCTCGAGCAATTGAGTGTAGGAGAAAAATCTTGGAGGGATGTGTTTTGTCCTATCACTTTTGATGTAGCTTTCCTTGAGTTGAGCAACACATGCAGAATTATCTTGAAATAATTTTGTTGGCTCCTTATTCATGATTATTCCACTTGCTTCTTGTATGTGATGAATCAAAGATCTGAGCCATACACACTCTCTACATGCTTCATAAAGTGCAATAGTTTCTGCATAATTGAGGAAGTGGCAACCAGTGTCTGTTTTTGAGAACGCCAAGAGATTGCAGTACCTCCAAATGTAAAAACATATCCGGTTTGCGATCGAGCTTTATGTGGATCTGATAAAAAACCTGCATCTGCAAAACCAACTAAACCGAATTTGGAGTTTCTAGGGTAAAACAATCTCATATCAATTGTTCCTTGAAGATAACAGAAAATATGTTTTATTCCATTCCAATGTCTATGTGTAGGGGATGAACTATATCTAGCAAGTAGATTTGTAGCGAATGCTATGTCCGGACGGGTATAATTTGCAAGATTTAACTCCGCCAATGACGTTCATATAAGGTACTTCAAGACCTAATATTTCTTCGTTATCTTCACAAGGTCGAAACGGATCTTTTACCGTATCGAGAGATCGATTAACCATTAGAGTACTCAAAGGAGTCGCTTTATCCATACGAAAGAGTTTTAATATCCTTTTAGTGTAATTTGATTGATGTATGAATACTCCGTCGTCTCGGAACTGCTCTATTTGTAATCCAAGACAAAACTTTGTCTTTCCGAGATCTTTCATTTCAAACTCTTCTTTCATATGAGCTCTCGCTTCTTCAATATCCTTTTAAGTTCCAAGTATGTTCAAGTCATCAACATAAACAGCAATGATCACAAATCCAAACAAGGATTTCTTAATAAACACACAAGGGCATATCACATTGTTAATATATCCTTTACTCCACAAGTATTCACTTAGGCGATTATACCACATTCGTCCGGACTGTTTTAATCCATCAAGTGATCTTTGTAACTTGACTGAACATATTTCTTTTGATTTGGAACTTAACGCTTCAGGCATTTTCAATCCTTCTGGGATTTTTATATAAATATAATTATCAAGTGATCCATATAGATATGCTGTCACAACATCCATAAGGTACATTTCTAGATTTTTAGATGCTGCAAGAACCATAAAAAATCTGAATGTTATTACATCCATAACCGGAGAATAAGTTTCTTCATAATCAATTCCCGGTCTTTGAGAAAATCATTGAGCGACAAGTCGGGCTTTATATCTTGTCACTTCATTTTTCTTATTTTTTTTTCTTACAAAAACTCATTTGTACCCAACCGGTTGTACATCTTTAGGTGTTGTGACAATAGGTCCAAACACATTTATTTTAGGGAGAATTGGTTTTATAATGCCGATTGAATTAGAATTTGTCCCCTTAATGTTTTCTATTTTTTTGTCACTTTTTGACATAGTTACCCTTTTAAATCAGTTATGACAGTTATAATTAAATATAAATTTGAAATTATATTTTAAAAATTTTGAAAATATCTAAAAAGGAATTAAAAATATTTTCGTATATCATTTATGGAAATTTTTTTTTTTATTATATTATTAAAATTTGTTCTACGCTTGGTAGAATGCATATTCTATGTTCTACGTCCACGTAGAATCCCATTTCTATAGTTCTTCACATATTCTACCAGCCTGTAGAAGTCGTTTTTTATAGGTCTTTATATATTCTACCGATTGATAGATTATAACTTCTACTAGATAGACTATATTCTACATGTTAGTAGAACTACCTGTTAGACCAGGTTCTACGTTATTGTAGAACGGTTCTTCTACCTGTTAGACTTCATTCTACATTAACGTAGAATGCATCTTCTACCTGTTAGACTTCATTCTACATTAATGTAGAATGCATCTTCTACCTGTTAGACTGCATTCTACATTAACGTAGAATACATCTTCTACCAAAATCTGAGAAATTCTAAGAAAATTAGTTAACTTCCAGATCTTAAAAATTTCGAAAATCTTTTTTCTTTTTAATTTTCAATGTTTTTTAATCAGTTTTGACGTTTTTTTTTCTTTTTTGGCTGTCATCGTTCTCTTCTTCTTCATTCACATTGATCAAGCAGATTTTCCCTAAAATTATATATTTTCTGCTTCAAACATGCTACATATCTATGTGACTTGTGGTTCATGGAAATCAGAGACAGATAAGAAGTGGGTTTTTGTGGCTGATGCAGAAAAACGAGCTAGGTTAGTTGCTGTTGAATCAAATACGACTCTTGCAGAGTTAGAAACAATGGTTCTAGAAGACTATGGAGTAGTCGATCACAAAGCTGAGTTTAGTTATCTACCGAGTGATTTGATTGATACTGTAGGCTCTCCACCAGTGAGTATCGCTAATGATCATCAGCTCAAAAATTTTGTTGGGTACTCTAGGAATAAAACCTCGGTAAATCTATGTGTGACATTCACCGCGTATGCTGGACATCCTGAGATTCCGATTAACATCGAATTGATGAAGAAAGCCTCTGATTCAAGCTGTATGAAAAACGATCAGGTTGTGAAGTCAGGCGATGATGATATTAGAGGCATTGGCCATAAAGTGGAGGAAGAGTTTGATGAACCCGTTATGGTTGACAACAAAGTTGACAGTGAGCAGAACGTTCGGCTTAACTTGCTTGATGCCGTAAAGAAGGATCACATTTTTAGAAGCAAAACAGAGTTGAAGGCTTCTTTGGAAATTTCTGCGATGAAGTATAATTTTGACTACAACGTACTGGAATAAACCAAACGAGTGTGGTGTATCC